TCTAAGTTATTTTTAATGATGATTTTTTTTTTTTTTTAAGAATTGATTTTACTTGTTAGGATAGCAAGACAAAAAAATGTCTTATTTATACACTACCATTCAAGTAGGATCAGGATTTTATTCAGCAAGGATGCATTATGTTTGTAAGTTACAGTAAAGACTTTTTATCAAATAAACATGTGACACTTAAAGGGACACACTAATGGACATTGAACAATAATGAAAAAAGGCAATATTATCAGAATGTTGGGAATATGGAAGAAGTAATAATAAAAATATTTGATGGGAAATATCGAAATCTATCGGTTTAAACCACATAAAATATACAGTAATACAGTCAAAATGTCAGTAATCCCACCTTGGATGTTTATAATGCCTATGATACACCTTCATTTAATAGAAGAAGTGAAGAAACAGAATTGTGACCCAATAAAAAAAACGAGTTAAAGCTGCAGTCCGTAGCTTTTCCTCTTTGTCGCCATCTCTCTGTTCGAAATCTGTAACTGCAGTGATTCGCGGAATTATCATCTTTACGTGGGTTGTAAATCGGCATGAAACAGCGCGGATGAACACAGTGTTTTGAGGCGAGTGCTGCTGTCAGTCACCGCGCTGTGTGGATACTGTCATACAGAATCACAGATTCACTTTTTGAAAGTTTGACCAACATAAGAATTTTCATAAGAAAATGTCTTCTGAACAACTAAGTAACATCCATTTTTGTTCTGACCAACTAAGGGGGAAAAAGCATTCGACATGATAAGCTTCGTTAGATTTAATCAACGCGATTTACAGCAACCGTGCAAATTATAGCCTACTTTGTTCTCAAATTGTTCATGTTAACAACATCAGCATTGCGTGACTAATGTTAAATTTAATGTGTTTTATGGTTACCTGTGTAGTTCAGAATTCATATTCTCCATAATAGCAAAACGAGAAAGGCACAACAAAGGAAACTCCATAACTGTGTGAATTAAGAAAACGTACTGTTACACGATTGAACTATTGAAATGTCTTACTTGTTCAGCAGAAAAAAGCCGTCTCTTCTTCCGTTTTGAACCCCTTCAAAACACGGAGTTCACGCACTTTTCAAAAGCCCCCGCCGATGTTTAAATCCTTGTGTTCGCATGAGACGGTTTCTTTCTCTTTCTCTAGCCACCTTAAATCCGAAGTACGAAGTCTTTTGGGTTTTATAACTGCTGAATCTCCAGTTGACACTGATGATTGTTGTTTGTATCTTTCTGGATGCCATAAGTTTAATTATGTAAAGTGCTGCGAGAAAAGCCTAAACATCTAAACATCTCGTCACGCGCAGTATAGCCGGCTATAGCCGATACTCCTTCTTTATGTCTACGGGTGTGACGTCATGACGCAAAGACATGCTCGAATTTCCCGCGGAAACCCACCAGTACCACTGGAATTAAAATCATTATTACAAGCTAACCGTTTTGAATCTAGCTATGGCAAGCAGATAGTTTTGACCACTGGCAGAATAAGTTTTTTTTTTATATAATTATTTTGGATTATTTTTAACTTAAAAAAGCTACGGACTGCAGCTTTAATCAATATTGACCTGAAATATGATATGACACAATTATTTAGATGGATCAAATGATACAGGATATTAGAACAGGAGTAGCTGTAGTTGCAACACAAAATGAAATATTTATTTTATTTACAGCTGTATTTGGTAGCTATTGTCATGGCCCTCTAGTGGGTAGAGGAAGAATGAAGAAAGCAGTAATATGCTCAGATTCATTGGCAGCATTAAAGAGCATTCAATCTGGCCAATCTAGCCGCAGACAAGATCTTATTCTTGAAATAATGCAGTGCATAGAATTAATCATCAGGGCACTGCTATTTCATTTATTGAGTTGAAGGAAACGAGAAAGGAAAACTCATTGAACATGAATAATATCGAAGTAATATAAAAATCATGAGAATTCAATGGCAAAGAAACGGAAGTTGCCATCTTTTCTTCCCTATTGTGATGTGCAAGTAAAACAGCTTCTCAAATAATGTCAAGGTTAGTTTTACATTGTCAACAAAACAATATAATTTCAATAATTAGTTATTGTCTGACTGATTAGCATGCAGAATAAAAAGAAAAAAAAAGAAAGAAAAAAAAAATAGATTAAACAAGGAACGTTTGATCATCTTAATAGGCTTAATGTTGTTTCAGTAGAACTTGTGTTCTTTCATATCTTCAGATGTTTTAGCATAGTGATCAATTTCAGTCAAGCTGCATGGTCTTATGTAACTATTCTAGGGATGTGATGTTCTTCACATTGCTCAAAATGTTACATTGCTAACATATGTTTTACAACAGTCATCTTTCATCCTCTTAACAATCCAAACATTCACATCACATATGAATAGAGATGTAGGAAAATGTGTGCTGTGTTTTTCTGGTTATATCAGTTCTCAGGTCACGTATCAGCTGCTGGTCCAAGCATAAGGATGCTGGAGTTCGGGGGTCCTCCTGGATGTCCTGCTTTCATCTCCTCCATTAATGAAGCTCATGTGTGGTGGGTGAGTCCCAGTGCATATGCCCACCGCCTCCCCTCTGCCCCATTTACAGTGCAAGTCTCCCATGGACAAAATGTAAATTAAAAATGCATTGGATGTTTCGAATGACATTTCAAGAACTCTGTACCCAGGGGGAATCTTGATTTCATTTCTGAAGATTTCATTCAAGCTTCTCATAAAATTAATTTAATTCAAAGGAAGGGCATGACAAGGGCCCGCGTCTTTGTCCAGATAAAAGAACACACTGACAGGATAGTCTATGAAATACTGAGATATATTCGAACCGAAACATTATATTTCAATATCATTACACATCACAGTTTTCATGTTTACACTTCACGTCATCTTGATTTTCGTGATTCTACTTCATCTTGATCTATTTTTGTAAGTATTGAAAACTTTACTCAATTATATTTCTAAGGAAAGTAACTACTTTTAATAACTTATATTTGAATTTAGACCTTAAGGTATAAACAAATTTCAGTAGTCACTTATTTTTCAGTAGTCTTACTCGCTAAGAATCGTGTGCTCGCAAAAATACAGTAAAAACAATAATATTGTCAAATATATTACAATTTAAAGTAACTGTTTTCAGCCATTACTCCAGTCTGGGTTAGTTCACCCAAAAATTCAATTTCTGTCATTAATTACTCACTTGGCCTTGGGCCATTCCAAACCCATAAGACCTTCGTTCATCTTCGGAACACAAATTAGGATATTTTTGATGACATCCGAGAAGAACATGAACTGTTAAAAAGATTAGTTTCAATGATTCTCGGGCATTAATCACTCAAAGGTGTTAAAAGCCTCAACGTGGCATTTTACATGATTTAACGTGTTGCAGCAAAAAATGTCAGGTAAATATTTTTGTTGTTTGCATTGTGAGATAGCCTTTTATATAAAAAATTACACTATTGCATTCAACAACAATCACTCATTTAAGCCATTTCAGAGAAAATATCAAGATATAAATTGACTATTACAAATTACTAAAAAATGTTGTTTTATTTTAGCTATATCATCCAGCTCAGACAGATAACACACACAGTTCTGATTTTTTTTTTTTTACATAACAGAACAGTAAATTATAAATTTAAAATGAGAAAATGCATCTTCAAATTACATATTATGGACATAAAAAAAAATCACAGAACGCAAGAGATCATACATAAAAGATACAGAGTGACAGTGAGTCTGAGAGTAAATATTTTATTACTGTGACACCTCGGGCTCAGGGAAGATCTGCTTTCCTTTCCAGCTCAGTCTCAATGAGGTCAATGATTGACCATCGACACAAGCTGTTTAAATATACTGCCCAACGTATACACAATATGGTTATAAAAACATTTCAAGCTTTTCACAATCAAAATTCCATTCAAAATTTTGGGGTTTTAGGCATCAAATATGAAGGAAAGTATGTATACTGTAAACAACTTTAATTTTAATTTCAATTTATAGCACTTTCACAATCTCAACGCAGCTTTGTGTGCCTTATAAACTCCTCAGTTAGCCAGCCAAAAACTCTCATATTCACAAGCTTTCCATGATGAAAGCATCAACTGCTGACACTAACAGTGGACATAAAAGGGTTGGGGATGTTCAGTATCACTACATGAGTGAGATAAACAGGATACATGATTTACATCATTAGGAGACACTATATTTAATGTATTAAAGCATTAATTTGAAAATCAAATCTCATCACTGCAGTGAGAGATCAAACATATGCTCAGTATAGTGTATAAAATCACTCTGCAGAATGTAAATTCAATCAAACACTTATTTTTAATGCTACGAGGTCTGTGATACAATTAAAACACATACAACTGTGAAATCGCAAATGTGTCCAAATGCAAACATTGCTATATATTTGTATGAACTGACTGAGATGCACTGTTTTCCACACAATGAAGGTGAATCCCCTCTATCTTTCCATCTCCATCTCTCTCTCTCTTTGACATGCACATGTATTATTCCAGTGTTTGGCAAAAACAAACAAAAAAAAAAAACAGCCTTCTCTATAAGCAACTAGAGACCGTGTTCTCACAGAGGCAACATCAAGGGCAGACTCACAAATACACACACAGGCCACATAAAAGCACACAAAGCAACCCTTCATAAACAACCTAGCAGCCTCTTTGGACAAAAGCTTGAGCATCTAATCTTTTGTGAGCCCTGTAATGCATTGCCAGTCACAATTAAAGCCCTCAGCTCTGCCCAAGGTGCTCTCTGCCATTATGACACCAAAATCATGATTTCGGTTTATCACCTCATGCCCACATCAGCTGAGCTCACTTTAAAGACCCTGTGAAATCAAAATTAGAGGATTTATTTTTGGTCCATTGAGACCATATGCTAACATAGTCCTATAAGTTCCTGGAAATACTCATCATGTACTACACTGAGTTTGGACCAATCAAATGCTTTCTATAATGAGCCTGTCTCTCCCTCCAATACCATCTGCACGAGCAAGTTGTAAATGGAACATCAGAATTTGTTCAACACATTTCATTTGACATCATGTTGCAATTCCACGTTCACTCCTCCTTACCCTCCTCACCTAAAAAATGCTAACAGTGATATGTTTGTATAAAAATATGGTTGCGACCCTACCATACCTATTTAAAAAAAAAAAGAGTTACGAGGAGGACAACAATTTTTTCACACACTTGAAAATAGAAGTCTAAAAGTAAATATCAACGTTGCACTCAAAGTAAGAAGTCACACCGGAGAGCAGCAACATTATCCACAGCATTCGTCTCGCTAGCAGGCTTTTCATTGTCATGTGATCTCAGCATAGGTGATGGGATTCTGAAAATCAACCAAAAATATACATTTAAGTATCTGGGTTAATTACATCACACTCAGTTTGTCTAGATCTAATAAATATTCACAAATTTTCAAATCTAATTCAATGATACTATAACTACAAAACCATTGTTCTATCCTGAGAATGTTTTAAATGTCTGTATTAAAATATTTTTGGTGAGCATAATGGCAGAAATATCCGGTTGATACAACTGTCCTAATAACAATTAAGAAAAAACCCTCATAAAAAGATGAAATTCTTACAAAGAAAACCGTATTATCAAAACCTTGGGGGGGGGGGGGGGGGTATCAATGATAGAGGTATACCTCTTATCATTGATTGCTGAGTGCACTCCACTCGTGTTAATTAACTGAACGTGCTCCTCCCGAACTTTGTTAATAAAACATCATTTTAAAATGTGCATCCCCCTTGTTATGTCTTTGCCTGCACCCCCTCGTTTCCTTTCCATTAGTCTATTTGCCTCACCTGTTGCCTCTTATTACCCTCTTAGTTTGCTGCCCTATTTATTACCTTTGTATGTGCCGGATAGTTATTTGCCTCTGCTCTCAATATCCAGTTAGTGTTTTTGTCGGCTGTCCAGTTTGTTTTTTGTCTCAGGATTTTCTGCCTGTCCTGCATTCCCTTGTTGTCCTGCCTGGCTTAGTCTGCCTGATCTGGCCTGCCTGGGACCCTGAGGTTTTCTTCTCCTGACCTGGTTCTGTTAGCCTGGACTGTTAAATATCTACCTTTCTCTTGCCCCGGGCCATCAAGCCAGCACACCTGCCTGTTTCCTGGATTCTCCAGTGGTCAACTTTTGTCTCTTTGTGGTCTGTTAGAGGCCTGCCCTCCAATCTGCCCATCCACTGGTTCTGCTTTCCCTACTGACCCTTCCCTGTCCTGACATCAGTACCTGCCTGCCCCGTCTGGGATTTTTGCCTGCTTGGTTTTTTCCTGCAACACAGTGTCTGTTTTTTCCTGGATTGTTTTTCTTCTGACCTTCTTGGGCTGGATTTAGCTGAGTTTTGCCTTTTGTATTCATCTGCATGTGGGTTCTCTTTCTGTTACTGGTCCTGGCACACATATTCAAGGTGTAAAGATAATATAATTACTAGTACATATTTGTGGTAAATATGGTATTTTTAGATGCCTTAAATTTGAACTTTTCTTGAAAATAGTATTTAAAAATGTTCAAAACCATTTGATTCCAACAACAGATTTGTCACGTTTCAAACTTAATGTAAAATATTTTTGGTCATTGAGACATGAGGAGCGCTAACAGCTGCTTTTCACAACTGCTTCTTTACCTCTCCATCCTATTGCAAAGTTAAAGAACTGGTGCACACTTTTCCAAGGCTGTGGAAATAAGTAATAGCTACCTTAAAGATTAATGATGTATCCTTGAAATAACCAAGTGTGATGTGAGTACTAGCCATGCATTGCAGGTGCACATGTCTTGGGCTTATACGTAATCTTGATGAACGGCCTCACGGAGGCCATGCGCTCACACTTATATGAATTCGAAATGAATCCTGGGAAGTCATATTGAACTATTAATCAAAGATGGGCGGGACTCCTCTGATTTTGATGAATAATGGAATTCAAAGGCAACAATATCTGCTACTGGACTGTGGGTTCATGACCGGGACCGACTACCTGTTGAATATTGTATGGCAGCCCTGCTGAACAATGCTTTTGAATACCGCATACAGTATATCTGATCTGTGGACATCTGTGATTTAATAATTAGCTCTCTGAGGTGGAAAACATAGGACTTAAAAGCCTAATTCATGCAACCCGAAAATCAAAAACAGAAAAGTGTGCACATCTAATTCATTGGTTTGGTTCAAAAGCAGGAAGAAGAAATTATATATTCAGCTGCATGTGTCTATTTTTTTTCTGAGACTGGAAGATAAACCCACTGACTAACTCTGATCTATTGTGACACAGATACAAGAAATGGCCTGCAGCAAAGGAGCCAAATGAACATACTGAAAAGAAATAATGGGATTTACTAGGGAAGAACATATTTAACATTCAGAACATAATATTCAGTGTCCAAAGGCTGTTCGATGTGATGGCTGTCAGCAAAAGTATGTTATTATGCTTGAATGAACTGAAGTGGACAGAGATTAAGTTCAGTACTCAAAAAAGAAGCTAAAAGGAAAGCTCTGTTTATCAAACAGCTGCATTCCTTGTGATTTCATCTATGATCTTTGACATTTTTAAGCCCCATTTTTACCAAAAATGTGTGTTTAATACCGTTTAAGGTTTTATATTCTTGTCCCTACAGTTAAAAATTCAATGCTGCAAAAACTGAAAACTGCCACAGGGAAGCTCATAAGATGACCCACATAAGGCTGACATTGTATTTTGCAAATTTTTAAAGTGTGGATGAATGATCTGGTAGGAGACATGTAAGCTCATCTACATTAGAGTAAAGGACCTTTCACACCAAGGACAATAAATATAACAATAACTATAAAGATTAATGATTGTTCTAATTCAATGAGAACTATAATGACACAGAGCAAATATATTGTTGGAATCACTTTCAAAAGCAATTTTTTTTTCCAGCTGATGAACGATAAAAACAATGACAGCCAATCAGAATCCACGCAAATTTAAGAAGCTCGATTTTGAATGAATGGCTGGTAATGCATCCTAATCTCTTTTTCATAGCACTGTGAAAAAATTGGCCAACCAATTAGATTTGAGCGTTTGGTCACATGCCCAGAGCTGCTGATGGTGCTCACAACCAGAGTGCTATGCGACAGTGAATATCACAGAAAGAATCCAGAATCGGCTCTTGCCTCTGTACTCTTGTATTTGGTGTTGTGTGATAAACATAGCAAATACAACAATCTGAAACGCTGTTTGAAAATGTGTAAATACTGCTTGACTTGACAGACAGGTGTCAAAAAAGGAAAGTTGCGGAGTGTTGCTTTGTGTAAATTTTTTGGTTTTCAATGAGCGCCTCCTACTTCAGAGATTGTATGTTCAATCAACAGTCTAAAGACAAATTGCAAGCGAAAAACATACAGAAATTTCTCGTAAAACATTTGTGATGATATAAACAGGCGTTAATGCTGTTAATAATCTCATTTTGGATAGAAAATGGCCACTTACTGTAATAAAGCACTTGTAATAATGTAATACATTAATATGTAATAATGACTGAATTGTATTAATGATTCTAGTGTACATGAAGGCTTGAGGTTGAATACCTGGGACACTATGTATTTCTCCATGGTTTGCTCCATCCTTGGCTGACTGATCATGGGACCACTGGACACACTCTCCTCCGGCGGTATCTCATCCAGTAAGGGCTTCCCTTTGAAATTTTTCACCACACACATCACCTAACACAAGAGCGCCCGTAGGGAAAGAGAAAGGAAAGAGAGAAAAGAGGGAAGTTTTACACCTCTGAAAGGGTTTTTGTAGCACATATACACATGCATGGCTTTTCTCGGAGTGTAAATGATGATTTATGTAAGTCTCGAAAGGGCAAAGATGCTCGCATGACTTGTTGCCCAAAGTAAAAAGGCTCTGTGCTCTTTCGGGAGGGAGGAAGCATGCAAGTCCATGTCCTGGAGGAGATTCATCCATTATCGGACCAAAATGAGTACTTTCAATGAGACACTACAGGCAATGCTCTGCTAGACTGCAGCATAACACAAGGGAGAGTTTCAGCGGAGGACATCTCAGGGCGTTCTCATTCCCGGAGAACCTAAGTTGAACTAAACAGATGGAGGAATTAATTTTCTGTGCTGTGTGTGCTGCCCTAACCATTTTCTAAACCATACAGCAGGGCTGTACTATAAAAATGACCCTGGGCCTGTCTGAGAGGACAGAGGAGAGTTTTGCGTAGTCGCTGTGTTTTGGTTGTTGATCATGCCGTATAAATGTGTTTTTATGCCTTATAAATGAAAACTTTTTTTGTGATTTTTGGGATGTACTGAACATTGTTGTCCAATTGTACTTATGTAATGTCGCTAAGGTAGCCCTGTCAGCTTGGCTAATATAGCTGTGATATTATCACAACATAAAATTACTTGTGATAGTATTACAAGTATCAGAAATGGTTGAAAAATATATCAATAATATTTTTACCATATGCCAAAAGTGATTAATTTAGGATGTCATGCCGCTACTTTTGTTTTGTAAAGAAAACTTAAATACTCAATTACGCAACAACTCTTACTACAAGTTACATCGAAAAGCCAAGACAAGTCTTCACAAGTGAGTCAATGATTCATTCACAAAAATGATTCGTTCAGAAACAAAACAAGTAACTGGCTGCATCCGAAATCCAAGGATAGATTAACGGACGGCCCAAGCTGCGGGGGGCCCTGTCGGCACAACGCCCCAAACACTCTACACCCTATGTACTATTAGATGAGGCCACAGGAGAGGATTTGTGAATGGCAGTGAAACGACGTAACTGACACTGGAAGGTCACATGATAATGACAACATGGCGAATGAAGTACATCCAGACTACATTCATACTACTCACATTCATACTATATACAACATACTTTTTTAGTGGTTGCAAAGTAAGAGATTGTTCAAAATAATCACCTACTAAGAGAGTATGCAATTTCGGACACATCCACTGTCTTTAAGATTGTCATTGGGCTCTACCAGACACCTGGTGCAATGCAGCGCCAGGCGCGACGCAAGTGTTTATTGCTAGTTTCAGCCTTACGCAGTTATAATTTTCACGTCATGCGCCATGTTGTTTAAATAGCCAATGCATTTGCGCCCATTTGTGCGCCCATGGGCGTGCTGGTCTGAAAATGATGCGTGTTCAGGCGCATTGTTGGTGTGTTGCTATTTTGAGGCAACTGAAATAGACTGTGCCATTGACCAACTGAAACCTGGTCTAAAGTCAATGGCGCAATATTTTTATGTTATTTAAAGAGCGCGTTAGTAATATGCGGCTATAGGCGGGTCCACAACGTGCGTACACTGCTTATTAAACACACAGGGATGCACAGCAGCACACAAACTAGCCAAATATTAAAAATAAAAAGATTACAATAATAATAATACGTTTATTTTATATAGCGCCTTTCACAAACCCAAGGTCGCTTTACATAGCGGACAGACAATGAAACACAACAGCAAACAACCAAAACAATACAACAAAGACAGTTATCTGTGTGAAGCTATGAGTTTGTTGTGGAGAAATGATCATTAAACAGAAAGGTTTTGAGATGTGCTTTAAAGAAGGGAAGAGAAGCACAGTCACAAAGAGGTTGTGGGAGGCGGTTCCAGAGTTTGGGGGCTAAGGCACTGAAGGACCTGCCACCCAGGGTGGAAAGTCTGGAGCGGGGGATAGCCAAGAGATTTTGATCAGAGGATCTTAGTGAGCAGGAAGGAGTATATGGGGTCAGGAGGTTGCGGATGTAGGGGGGAGCAAGGTTGTGGAGGGCTTTGAAGGTGAGTAGAAGTACTTTGTATTTGATCCGGGATGGAACTGGTAGCCAGTGGAGTTGGTGGAGAATGGGTGTGATGTGTGCTGATTGTCTGGTATGGGTGAGGAGCCTGGCTGCCGAGTTTTGAATATATTGTAACCTTTGAAGTGATTTAACAGGGAAAAGTGTGTTGCAGTAGTGAATGAGTTAACAAAAGTCTGTGCATCACTAACAGAGAGAAAGGGTTGGAGGCGAGCAATGTTACGGAGGTGAAAGAAGGCAGTCTTAGTGAGTGATTTGATATTAGGATCAAAGCTAAGGGTGGAGTCAAGCAAAATGCCAAGGTTTTTAACAACAGGGGTAGGGTGGACAGGTGAACCATCAATGTTGAGAGTGAGACTGTGAGATTTGGAAAGGATGCTTTTAGGGCCAATCAGCAGAATTTCGGTTTTATCTGTATTGAATTTGAGAAAGTTGTTTTGCATCCATAACTTTAAGTCAGAGAGGCAGTCAGTGAGGGAGCATGGTGGTGGATCAGAGGGAGAGGGAATGGTAAAGTAGAGTTGGATATCATCTGCATAACAGTGGAAGTTAAGACCGTGGCTGCGTATAATCGGGCCAATAGGGAGGATGTAAACGAGAAAGAGGAGGGGCCCAAGTACAGAACCCTGGGGGACACTACGGGTGACAGGGGACTTGGAAGACTGATGTGACCCAAGTGTTACTGCCTTCTGTTGGAGAGGTATGACTGGAACCAATTCAGGGCTGTGCCAGAAACACCAATAGCAGACAGACGGGCGATTAGAACATTGTGGTTGATGGTATCGAATGCAGCACTAAGGTCAAGGAGGATGAGAATGTTAAGTGAACCAGAGTCAGCGGACAAGAGAAGATCGTTAACTATGCGTAGAAGGGCAGTCTCTGTACTGTGACATGAACGGAAGCCAGATTGAAAAGGCTCATACAGATCATGGTGATTAAGAAAGGTGTGTAGTTGTGAGGCCACCACTCTTTCCAGTACCTTGGCCAGGAAGGGGAGGTTGGAGATAGGGCAGTAGTTTAGTAGTGATGTTGGGTCGCAGTCCGATTTTTTTGGGTGTGACTGCAGCAGTCTTGAGGGCAACAGGCACAACACCAGAGTTGAGGCAGGTGTTTACTATCAATGCAATGGGTTCAGTTAAGGATCTGATGCAAGCCTTAAGTAGAGGGGTGGGGGCAGGGTCAAGTTGACATGATGAGGAGTTGGACTTATTTATAATGTCAGTGATAGTGAGGGAGTCTATAGCGGTGAAATGGGAAAGCTGAGGGCCCAGAGAGGGAGGAGAAGAAGAGAGAGATAGCATTGGGGTTGAAGCAGTGATAGATTTGGCTTATTTTGTCATCAAAGAAGTGTAAGAAGGCCTGGCACTGCTCAGGGGTCTTGGGACAGGCAGTGACAGGGAGTTTGAGGAGTTTGTCCAAGGTCCTGAACAGGGTTTTAGGCCTGGATGTGGAGGAGGTTATGAGCGATGAGTAATAGTTTGACCGGGCAGCATTGAGGGCATCCCTATATATCTGAGTATGTTCTGTGTAAAGCATGGAAGGAATTGTAAGGCCAGTTTTCTTATATAGACGTTCAAGACGGCGGCCAGCGGCCTTAAGTTTCCTGAGCTCAGGGGTGAACCAGGGGCATGAACGGTTTACTGGTACACGCCTAGTCCTAACCGGGGCTAAGCTATCAAGCAGGCTGGTCAGGGTGCCATTCTACATAGCAACCAAGTCATCCGCGGACGAGAGCTCGTCAAGGTCAAACAGTGGCGAGGCCTGTATAGAGGCAGCAAATATGTTGTGGTCTATTGACCAGATGTTACGACATGTAATAGCCGTTTTCTCTGAGGAGGGAGTAGGAGTGTTCATATGAAAACAGCATTCAATGAGCTTATGGTCGGAGACACCAGAGATGGAACCAGAGACAGAGATGTCATTTAGACCAGAAGAGCAAAGCAGATTCAAAGTGTGGCCGTGAGTGTGAGTAGGAAAGTCAACATGCTGTGTCAAACTAAAACAGTTCAATACAGAGTTAAACTCTGAGGTGTAAGAACTATTAGTATCCACATGAATGTTAAAATCCCCTAACATAATCATAGCAGAACAAAGAGATGAAATAACAGTGAGAAGTTCATTCAATTCAGACAGAAAATGTACAGATGGTTTAGGGGGGCGGTAGATTAGCAATATTAAAAGGGGTAGGGTAGAAACAACCTTCACAGCAATATATTCAAAAGATGTAACTTCAAATGGCCTAAGTTCTTTAACAGTCAGATCTGAGCGGTGCACTACAGCCAACCCATCCCCTCTCCCTACAGATCTGGGTTTGGATAAGTAGCAGTAGCCAGGGGGGGTCAGCATGTTTAAATTAATGCAGTCACCGGGTTGTTGCCAGGTCTCTGAGAGACAAAACAAGTCACATTTTTTGTCAACGATGATATCGTTTATTAGGGCCGTTTTGTTTGTGATTGAGCGTGCATTTAGGTGGCCAATGTTAAAGTTCTGACATGATGACGAGGCAGGAGGAGGCAGCCTAGGAGAGCGACGAAGGTTGTCAAGGTTAATTCCCCTTTTCTTTGCCTGGTATCGTCGACAACGATCGGACGTGTAAACAGTTGGGATTTGAGCATCATGTCCATTGAGAGCCGATTGTCTTTTGGAGCGATGAACATAACGTGGACATCGAGGGGGGTGTGGCAGCGAAAAAGTTTGAGAGCAGCAGGGGTGTAAACTGGCTCCATTGCCAAGTTACAAAAAACACACAAGCACAGTATAAGGCGAGCTGACAGGACATTAATCCAGCTGCCAACGGGAAACATGACATGGACACAGTAAAGTTGCCACAAGTGACACAGCAACACCACGCTAATGCTACAAGTTAGCCAACCAGGCTCACAACACAACCGCAATGTAATTAACGCAGTTTAGTACGCCAACCACTGAACAGACTGGGGACAACAACGAGGCAAGCGGGTAAAGACACACTTACCACTGGTAGTAGTCATGTGAGGGGAGCGAGGAAGAGAGATCATGCAGGGGAAGAGCAGGCGTGCTGGGCTGTGGCAAACAGAACTGGAGGAGCAAGTTTGTAGCAAAGTTTGTAGCATTAATCCACGGATTGATACAACAGCAGCAAAGCAACAATGCTCCAGCGACAGAGCAGGAAGGTTCGGCAGACACCAGGAGGAGATGCGGTAATCCACTAGATTTCAGGGGAGAATGACACAGAGAAGGAATCCAGCGATGGCAAAGAAGGAGAGACACCCGGTGAGCAGCAGCAGACACACACGCAACCGGGACCGGAAGCACAGCTAGATGATATAAACTCCATTTTACTTTTACAATGTAAAAGATTAATATTGTGTACATAAAGATATGGTGGAATCCGGCTTGTCCCATAGATGGTCTGCTTGCGTTACCTCGCGCACGAGCAGATCCGTTTGCTCTCTGGAGACGCTAAGTTCACTTGTGCCGTGCTCTTTAGACCAATGCGATTAGATCGTTAAAATAGGGCCCATTGAATCATTAACTTCTATTCAAACTCATTTAGATTCAGTGAGGAATTAAACAAGTGACTATCTTTATGGGTGAGTCATTGAATAATTTACTCAATCGATTCATTCAAAACACTAATTCATTCAGAACCGAAACAAGTGACTATATGTGTGAATCATTAAATCATTTACTCTGGTAACACTTTAGAATACGGTTCCTTCGTTAATGAATAACTACACAGGAACAAATGAGTAACACAATATTAACAATCTAGTAACTACTATTAACTAACAAGAAATTCTGATTAACAAATTAGTAAGTAACAGCGCACAGATGAAAGTGGTAGTTCACTATTAACTAATCAATAACTACTTTTTTTTAATGCTTCCCAGAGAACTACTGTAAGAATCATGGTAACTAACTAGTAATGACTCAAGTGTTACTACATACTTCTAAAGGAATGACTAATTATTTGGATCCGTATTCTAAAGTGAAGATCACGGTAACTAACTAGTAATTACTCAAGTGTTACTACATACTTCTAAAGGAATTACTAATTCTTTTAAGCTTTTGAGGTTTTTGGTGAAGTTTTAGATAGTAATTCCCATAGAAGTATGTAGTAACACTTGAGTAATTACTAGTTAGTTACCATAATCTTCACTTTAGAATACGGATCCAAATAATTAGTCATTCCTTTAGAAGTATGTAGTAACACTTGAGTCATTACTAGTTAGTTATCATGATTATTACATGAAAAGCCAATCCTAAAGAGTAGAATCTTCTAATCCTTCACAAGATATTTGCACACACGTATGAGGTAGGAGACATTAATAAAAAATATAAAAAATTTGCGAGGTATAGGTTAAATAATAAAATCACTGTATATGGATGGCCGATAACTCAATATGTTCCAGCCGTCACCGTGACTCTGGCCAATTTTCTGGCATTCCTCTGGACTGGCATTGAATCACTACAGGACAAGTAAGGTCCCGATAACTGCATTTAAAAAGCCATTTCTTTAAAATTATTCAGTTGATAAATAGTTCTCTAGGAGAGAGCATAGGCTAATTATTTCCCAAATCATAAGTCTGCTATGCTATTACATATTGATAAACCTTGTGTATTTGTTTACAGCAGTTATTAATGTTAATGTAGTGCTAGTCATTTGTCCTGCATTAGTTATTGATTAGTTTTGCATGAACTATTAATCTTCTTCAGTAGTTCTCTGGGAAGCATAAAAAAAATAGTAGTTATCAATTAGTTAATAGTGAACTACCACTTTCATCTGTGCGCTATTACTTACTAATTTGTTAATCAGAATTTCTTGTTAGTTAATAGTAGTTACTAGATTGTTAATATTGTGTTACTCATTTGTTCCTGTGTAGTTATTCATTAAAGGTGCTCTAAGCGATGTCACGCGTTTTTTAGGCCAAAACATTTTTTGTCACATACAGCAAACATCTCCTCACTATCCGCTGGCTGCCTGTCCCCTGAACACACTGTAAAGAAACGCGATCTCTGTAGACAGCCCTGGCTCCACACACAGCAACAAAAACAAACTGCAGCGACCCGCTCCCCAAAACATAACAAACTGTTCTAGCCAATCACCGACAAGAAGGGTTTGGGGGTGTGGTTTGGGGGGTTAGTGTGCGGATGAGGAGGAGGGAGGGTCTAGCTAGCCTCCGTTTTGTTTGACAATAGTTCGAACGTCAACAAGAAGTGACGTCACCCAGGATCGCTTAGAGAACCTTTAACGAAGGAACCGTATTCTAAAGTGTTACCTTACTCTGATTCAAACACTGATTCATTCAGGAATCAAACACCACTACCGTGTATTGCTTGGAGACGTTTTGCTTTGGCTTACTCCTGTTAATAATCAAAACAACAGCCCTCTTGCATGTATGATACTGGTTAAAAAAATGTTCCTGACACAAATAAAAGGTCAAGTAAAATCAGAACTACTCTCCTGTCCTGACAATGTCAGCGGGGGGAAAACTCATTATTGAGCCCTGAGCTGAACTCCACTGCAAAACAAACTGCTAGGGAATCAGAAGGAAACAGACATTAGCAAGAATACTGCAATGCATTTACTTAAGCACAAACTGTTGTTCCCCACTACTGCCTCCTTTCTGATGATGTGACATTTAAGAGATTTGATCTGACCATGAGTTTAATGTGTATATTCACCTTCCTCCCTGCACCCCTCCCCCAACCTACCCTAACAGCAGAAATAGGTCAGTGCATATCTCATACAGTATGACTAAAGCACCACAAAAAATAAAATATTCACGCTTCCACAAACTCACTCACAATGCTGTTATGCCTAATGTGAGGCAAGCACGCATGAGCTCATGTGTGACCTTCCTCTAATGCTCACAATGAGTTTCTCATCTTCACTGTGCACTCTTCAAACAACAGTGTGCCCAGCACTGTACAAACTGTTGTGTTTTGTTAAAGAGGAAGCCACACATGTGCCCTATCCTGTGGCCTGACCTAATTATCTAGCCATATGTCACATTTCTTCTTGAGTGTAACATTACTGTATGAATTACTATGTTTTTTCATATAAATAATGCACATATATTTGTATGTATTTCTTGCTTTTTCTCTTAGTATGTAGGCATATGCAGTGTGTGTGTGATGGGCAAAAGTCTGCATAAGATCAGTGGTTTGCTGCTACAGTATGTGGCTTCTTTAAATTTCAGATGGCTTGAAGGCAACTCTGTACCGCAGATCCCTCAAACTCTCTGTCAAGATGCACTGGGTACTGTCAAAAAAAATGTTGTACAGTAAGTCAGGCACTTTAAAAAAAAAAAGTCTGAGGTATTTAAACAGAAGCTTGCATTTCTGTTAAAGCACTACCAAAATATTCATGTGGCGAGCAGGACGAGGCCGAGAGACGTGAGAGAACGGCGCGAGGCCGGTGGCGTGAGTGGTAATGAGCGACACCTGTGAGAGGCACCGGTCTCGCATCTCTCACCGAGGAGCGGAAGCATAAAGGAGGAGTGACGACAGAGAAGATGGAGATGGAACAGGGCTGATTTTATGTTGTGTTTTGTTCCTGTTTTATTTGGCCAGCAGTCGTCCGTGAGGGGCTGCTGGCTTATACTTTCATTTTGTATTTGTTTATTTTATTATTAAAGTGTTGAATGTTCGCCGTTTCCTGCCTCCTTCTTCCTATAACAACTGAACCTCGTTACAATTCTGTACAATAATGTTTATTTATAATTTGTCTAAATCAGGTGTCTTCAGACTTTTTGATGCCCACTTTCTCAACACTGCTTTAAATGTCTGCCTGGTTATATATACCGGTAGTTATATGGGACCAGATTAAACAGGAGTTGCAATGAAACGTTTGCTTTTACTGTTCCACAACACGTTATTTTAAACAGTTTTTATTTTAGTGTCACATTTTCGGTGACTTCAAAGACACTTAAGATTTGTGCATTTCATGTAATATAACCTTTAGATAACATAATTTGAATGTTTTATCAATCACAAAATATAAAAACGCAAAAGGAACAACACTGCATAACACTACAGTATACAGTATTTTACATTATTGTGTACAACTGTTCAAAAGTTTGGGGTCTATTTTCAACTATTTTCAACATTGATAATAATAAGAACTGTTTCTTTAGCATCAAATCAGCATATTAGAATGATTTCTGGAGGATCATGTGACACCGAAGACTGGAGTAATGATGCTGAAATCATCGCCGGAATATATTACTTTTTAATATATATTTAAATAGAAAGCAGTTATTTTGAATTTTAATACTTCACAATATTACTGTTTTTACTGTATTTTTTTTTAACAAATAAATGCATACATGGTGAGCATAAGAGACTTCTTCCAAAAAACATTTAAAAATTCTTACTGACCTCAAACTTTTGACCGGTAGTTATTATAACTAAACATAATATTAATAAAAGGTATTCAGTTCATTAGAAACACTCAGTACTTGTATTTGTAAATATTCAAGAAGATCAACTATATCAAATACATTTGTATTTAAAAATTGATTGAATTTGTATCTTTATTATCTGTGTGTTCTCATATGTGAGCTCACCATAAAGACAGCAATGGCTCCACCGATGATGAAGCCAGCGATGACTTTAGACCAGTGGTTGCGGTACTCCACCACTCGATTAATCCCAGTTAGGAAAGCCAGACACATGAGCCCCAGAGAGAGCACCGGCTTGGCCAGCCGTGTCCCTTTGGCCTTCACAGAGAATGTGATGTACATCTGAGGAAGAATGGAGCACTCTGTAATACATCTTCATTCTAACCACTGTGTAAACGCTTTTCATAGTTCATTCATTCCCTGCTCACGTGTGGACATGTTTGTCTGAACACACACAGGTTTTCATTTTTACTGTTCAAACACCTGTTTAATAAACTGCACTCTAACATGCACCAATTACTCTGATCAGTGTGCGCGAATGTGTCTGATGCTGCTGACATGCAAGTGCTTTTCAAATCAAATACATTTGCATGGTTCAGCTACATTGTTTCAATTATCCAAGACATTGGCATTGACTGGAAGGGTGGCATTTGAAGGCTAGTCTAGTGGTATTTGTAGAAAACCTGTGTCGCTTTAGTCCAGAATTAAGCCCTAGGGGAATGAGGGAAGGTGGACAAAAGCGGGGGGTGGGGGAAGGGGGTATGGGGGGATTGGTCTTGTATTCAACTCACTGTAAGGGTTTGATAAAGTACAACTCTAATGTCTTGAGCAGGGAGCACCAGCGACATTCAGACAGACGTTATTCTACCAAGCATTCATTTACCTGTTCCTGTGGAATCTCACGTCTTAAAATTCAATACGATAAGCCCATAATTATTTCCATGTTTTGACCGTTTGCGGATAAATGGATGATATTATAATTCTATACTATTTTGTCTAAATAGAATGCTGCAAATGGTTTAGTCTTTACAACAATACAGTGTGACATTTCGATTTGTTAAAGATTACATTTAAATGATTTGTGTTTTTCAATATTAACTTCATGTGAGCATTAGATAACGACAAAGATAATCTAAATCTAAAAAAGCAGCATGCGCAATTAAATATCCAATATCAGCCGATACTGATTTTTTTTTTTTTTTTATCTGTAAAATCGTATGATAATAACCAGTATGGTATTAATAATTCTGTCATTACATACTTTCATCTCATTCTAAAAATATATCTTGCTGGTATTTTTTAGTGGAACACAAGTAGACATTTTTGAAGATCTGTTTCATAGAACTTGTCATTTTGATGTCAAATATTAAATAATAATATGTTTATTTTTTTATAGCGCCTTTCAAGAACCCAAGGTCGCTTCACAAATTAGAAAGTTGAATGATTTTTTAATCTGGATGCAAGCTTTGTTATGGTATATTTTACAGCTCATAAATTTGTACTTTTGTGCTACACTGGACAAGATAGCAGAAAATGGGATTGGAATGAGTGTGAGTGAGTAAATAGTGACAGAATTTAGATTTTCAGGTGAAGTACTATTTTAAGATTCCATCACAGGCAAAACGAGGTGATTAAATAATAGAGCAGCCCTTAGTCATGGTAGATCTATTGATTTTCCTCCTCTCCACTAACTCTATGACACAATGTCATTTGGATATGACAGATGAAAGTTTTTTCTGTCTATAGGGAAGTTATTTGTTTTATTATTGTAATAGGAACCATTAAATGGATCTCCTACCATCTGCCTTGAGGCTTTTAGCATTTAAAAGTACACCATTTCTGATTTATTTAATGACTGGAGTCATACAGAGTAATCAATTTGATTAGTATGATTGAAGGTTTGAAGGTTGCATGGTGAAATATGCTGTTATTTATTTATTTATTTATTAAGACAATGCACAAAAATGTGAAGTTTGATGTGTACACTAACTTGTGACACGCTTAAAGTTTAATGGATTTGACTGAGATGAAAGCCCTGAGTGAGATCTCACAGGTCACTCCAGATGTTAACATGATCAAAAATCAGAAAGCAAGGCAAAGGAACTTAAAAACCTTCAGAGAACTGATGGAAAATGAAAATCAATTTGATGTGGCCAAAGTGAATGCTGTGTTGCTGGGAGAGGCCTTGTAGCTTTTAGACTTCAAGAATAAATGGAACATGTATTTTTATGCTTTTTAAAAAGGAGTACCATTTTTTAAAAACATGTTATGAAACCCAATTCATGCCTGGATCAATACCATAGTATGGATAAAAAGCTTCTCTCATCAGAATTTGAAGGAGTGTTAGAACAAAATCCTTTAGTCTAAAATGTTAAATCTGACAAAAATGTTATTTTTCCCTGAGCTACACTTATCCTTTTTGCTGATTTAATTTATACATAAACAACCTCTTCACATGTGAAATAACATTCATAAAGCTTCCACAAACAGAATGCAACTGTTTCCAAACCTTTCTTAGCCGTAGAAAACAAGATACCTATTTGTTATTTGCTGTTTAGACTACAGTGTGATCCTTTTCTATTGTGTACTGTATGTGTACAAGTAGAGTTTACTCACAGCAACATAAACAGCTGCATAAACACTGATGGCCGCCTCTTTGGACGGAAAGGATTTGCGAGCATGCAAGACATCATCCTCATTGCCTGTGCAGGCTTCCTGTTGGTTGATGAAACGCACCACCTGTTGGCACCCCAGCGCTGTGTAGTTGGGTTTGCACACCGTCAGGAAGTGTGGGGACAGATTTCCCGTTACCACCTGCCCGGCATTTACAAAGATGTCAGTGGCAAAGAGGCCAAAAGCATACACACCTGGAGGGACACAAAGACACTGTATTATCCAGAGGCAAATTTCAGTCTTACTTAAGGAATTTACACTATCTTTCGGAAGTTTGAGGTCGGTAAGATTTTACAATGTTTTTGAAAGAAGTCTTTTATGCTCACCATGCAGGCTACATTCATTTGATCAAAAATAAAGTAAACCGTGATATTGAGAAATATTATTAATGTTTGAAATAACTGTTCTCTTACGAGAGTATCTCTCGTACTGCGTAATAGCTTACGCTAGGGGAAAACCTCTTTTCCACGAGATATTGAAGCCAAAAATTATCCTTAATTTTTTATTAATGTAAAACGCTTTGCAGCAGCAAGCAGACACAGGCGAGACAGCTCGTGCGCCTATTGGCTGCTCTTGCGGCAAATGCAGCAGCCAATCGAGAGAGACTCTGCGTGACGTAATGACCAATGGGGGCAACTCGCGCCCATATCGTCACGTCCCGCCAGAAAAGGCGTGGTCTCACTCTATAAATATGCTCGTTAGGCTGGTACAAGCTGATTTTCATCTCTTCAGCGAAGCACACGCATCGCTGGATCCGGAGTGAGAAGCCGCGCCGTCGAAGCAAGCTTTTCAGCGGGACGAGCTTCTGGAGTCGCTGGCCTCGCCGCCTTCAACTGCCGTACCTGCTGCGCTTTCCGGCGTGCTATATCCTTTTATATACCTCTGTATTTAACTCTGCTGAGAAGTGTTAGCTCGCTTACTTGACGCGACTTTCACTTCTCGTCACAAAAGAGCTGCGTCTTTTTAAAGATGCCTTCCTGTGGCTCGTGCCGCGCCCCACTCAGCGACGGAGACCGCCACGTCATCTGTGTGTCCTGCCTGGGTGAGGATCACGCGGCCATCGCACTCGCTGACGGCGGATGCCCTCATTGCGAGCTTTTGCCTATGCTGACTCTGAGGACTCGCCTGGCATCATTCTCCGAGCCATCATTCTCCAGCGCGCTCCCGAGCTATCTCCAGCCCGCCAAAGCTCGCCGGTTCGCCCGCCGGCTTCGCTCGAGTCGCTCTTTGCCCGCCCTCCGCTGGACGGCACGCTCACACGACGCTCCCCTCTAAAGCCTGCCGAGTGCATCAGCTATGCACGGACGCGCTTACACCGCCGCCGGGCAAGCAGTTCCAGCGCTGCACACTATGGCTATTCTGCAGATTTTCCAGGCCGACCTTCTCCTTAAAATGGACGAGGAAGGACCCGAAGCGATCTGCGTGGCGGACCTGAAAAGCGCTACAGACCTCGCTCTTCGCGCTGCTAAAGCCGCTGCACAGGCCATAGGGCGGAATATGGCCTCTCTCACCGTGGCTGAGAGACACTTATGGTTGACTCTGTCCGAGATGACGGAAGCCGAGCGCTCTGTGTTCCTAGACGCGCCCATTTCACCAGCGGGCCTCTTCGGATCTGCCGTCAAAGATTTCGCGGACAGATTCATGGAGGTGCAGAAGACTTCACAGGCTATGAAGCACTTCCTTCCGAAGCGCTCGAGCTCCGCTGCAGGCCGCTCTAAACAGCCGTCTGCTCGCAGCTCTCAGCCGCAACCTGCACCACCCGCCGCCGCCGCTTCACAGCGCCGCCACGCCCGAGACCAAAGACCGCGCTCTCGCTCTGCTGGACACCGCCCCCCTCAGCGCGGGCCCCGGCCGAGGATCGAGATCAAGCCCGAGGCCTCAAAGCCTTCCTAGCCACTCTAGGAAAGCGACGGTGTTCAGATCCCGCTGTGGCCGGTTCTCCACCAAAACTTCTCGCTCGGTCAGTTCCAAGCATCGTGACTGTCCCAGTGTATTTCGCAGTGAGCCAGCCGGTGTCTCAGCCCGCTTGCCTGCGCACAAAAGCCGTTTTTACGGCTACCCAGATAAATCCAATAAAGAGTGCATTTTCTGGTGTTCCGGGCACGGCCGATGGTGTTATGAGTGTTATAAGAATGCCCACGCCCAAGTGCCCATTCCCACACCCAGACACAGCCCGCCACGGTGCAGGGCTAGCACAAATAAAATCGACTCAGGTCGATTGTGCACACAATGTAGTGAACGCGCCCATAACACAATGCCCGCTTACACTACACGCTGCGTGTCCCTTGGTTTCTGTAAAAACGAAACCAACACACATTCAATCGGCCCTAACCGACAGTGTTTCCAGTGTAATAAATGTGCCCGCTGTCCCGCGCCCACATTTTCACACAAACACGCCGAATCCTACGGGATCTGCCCCGCTCACTTTCTCTGCACAATCTGCCATAGAGAAGCTGAGCGCGGCCAGGCCGCCCGCTGTAATCAGCGCGCCCCCCGCCTCGAACGCTGTAAACACGGTGTTGTGTTCCCAGTATACCAGGGCTCTCGAGCTGCCGTTTTGCCGCGGCCAGAGCCCGGATTTCATTCTACCTCTAGCTATTCACGCAGATGCGTGGTCAAAGCTTTCCGGGGTATCAGAATGGGTGCTGAACACTATAAAGAGAGGCTACTCGCCACAATTCGCTCGACGCCCTCGCCGTTATACGGCGCGTGTCGAAACTACGGTGAAAAACGAAGTGTCTCATCTACTTCGTGCCGAGATAGCGAAACTACTGAGCAAAGGGGCTATAGAACCTTTATCTCAGGCTCAGAGCGAAGGGGGCCTATACAGCAGGTATTTTCTGGTACCGAAAAAAGATGGGGGTCTCAGACCCATTTTAGATCTGCGACAGCTGAACAGAGCGCTTGTGAAACGCCAGTTCAGAATGCTTACGACCAGGAAAATCCTCGCGCAAGTGCGCCACGGGGACTGGTTTATGTCAATAGATCTGAAAGATGCCTATTTCCAAATACAAATAGCGTCCCATCACAGGCGATTCTTGAGATTCGCTTTCGAGGGCCAGGCGTCTCAATACACAGTCCTGCCGTTTGGCCTGTCCCTAGCACCCCGTACATTTACGAAGTGCATGGACGCGGCGCTCGCACCCCTGAGACTTCAGGGCATGCGAGTCCTGAACTACTTGGACGATTGGCTGATTCTAGCTCGATCACGATCGGAGCTCATAAAACACAGGGCCGCATTACTCGAGCACCTCGAGGAGCTGGGCCTCACAGTCAATTGGGCGAAAAGCTCACTGTCTCCCAGTCAGAAAATTTCCTTTCTGGGAACAGTGTTAGACTCGCTATCCATGACGGCACGCCTGTCACCGGAGCGCGGACTAAATATTCAGCGCGTCGCGAAATCCTTCCGCCACGGCTCGATAGTTCCGCTCAGAAGGTTTCAGAAAATGCTGGGGCTTATGGCCTCAGCAGCCTCTGTACTCCAGTTGGGCTTGCTTCGCATGCGCCCACTGCAGATGTGGTTGAAAGCGCGGGTTCCGCCCAGGGCATGGACAGCGGGTCTGTTTCGCCTCAAGGTCGACCTACAGTGCGTTTCAGCTCTGAAACCTTGGAAAATAACCGACTGGTATCAGTCAGGTGTAAGCCTGGGGACCGCTTCGAGTGTGAAGGTGGTGTCTACGGACGCCTCCACCTCGGGGTGGGGAGCGCTGCTCGAGGGCAGACCGCCAGCTGGCCTGTGGTCAGAACGGGAAAAGCTCTTTCACATAAACTGCTTGGAGATGATAGCAGTCGACAAAGCGCTACGGCGCTTTTGTCCCCAGGTGACAGGCCACCATGTCTTGGTCCGGTCGGACAACATGTCAGTGGTGGCATACATAAATCGCCAGGGCGGCGTCAGGTCACGAAACCTTCACAGGCTGACGGAACGCCTCCTGGTCTGGGCTCAGCACAACCTGCTCTCACTAAGAGCAGCGTACGTGCCTGGTCACCTGAATGTGGGACCAGACAGACTGTCCAGGAACAATGTTCCAGCAGGGGAGTGGTCGCTGCACCCGCAGACGGTCCAGCTGCTGTGGAGAACGTTCGGCAGAGCACAAGTGGACCTATTCGCGTCCCACGAAAACGCTCATTGCCCGAGGTTTTTCTCGAAAAGCAAGGACGCACTGGCTCATGTTTGGCCCCGCTGTCCCCTATATGCTTTTCCTCCTGTCTCGCTCCTTCCTCAAGTGTTGGAACGAATCAGGGGAAACGGATGCCCAGTGCTGCTCGTAGCGCCGCTCTGGACAAACCAGACGTGGTTTCCTGCCCTGATGCAGCTGACCAGCACTGCCCCATGGCCTGTACCATTGAGGAGAGACCTCCTCTCTCAGGCGGGGGGCTCGATTTGGCATCCTCGCCCGGAGCTGTGGTCCCTGCACGCGTGGGCCATCAATGGGTACCCGCTAGCCTCCCGGAAGGAGTGTTCAACACGATCGCGCAGGCTAGAGCTCCGTCTACCAGGCGGCTCTACTCCTCGAAATGGTCTGTTTTCTCTGCATGGTGTCAAGCCCAGAGCTTTTCACCTGTGGATTGCGGGGTTTCAGAAGTGCTTTCCTTCCTTCAAGAGCTACTGGATAAGGGCAGGACCCCATCCACGCTCAAAGTATACGTGGCGGCCATAGCAACGTTTTCAAAACCGGTATCTGGCCAGTCACTGGGGAAAAACGACTTAGTCGTGCGTTTCCTTAGGGAGCTCGGAGGCTAAACCCTCCCAGGCCCCCTTCAGTCCCGACGTGGGACCTTTCCACGGTCCTGGAGGCCATGAAAGGCGCCCCGTTCGAGCCAATCCAGCTGGTGGACATGAAACACCTGTCGTTCAAAACAGTGTTTCTCACGGCTCTCGCTTCAGTGAAGCGCATAGGGGACTTGCAAGCGCTTTCAGTAAGCGCGTCATGTATGGAGTTTGGGCCTAATGACTCGAAGGTCATCCTCAAACCTAAGCACGGGTATGTGCCGAAATCCCTCAATACACCGTTTAGGGCCCAGGTAATTTCCCTGTCTGCCCTTCCGGTTCTCAATGAGGAGGAGGACGCGAGTCTCCTTTGCCCCGTCAGGGCACTGAGAGCTTATGTGTCGCGCTCGTCTGTTTTCAGACAGACTGAGCAGCTTTTCGTTTTGTTTGGCGGACGTTCCAAGGGACTTGCCGCCTCGAAACAGAGCCCATCCAGATGGATAGTGGATGCCATTGCGCTAGCTTACACTGCAAAGGGCCTGCAGTGCCCGTTGGGTGTCAGAGCGCACTCCACAAGAGGCGTGGCCTCTTCGTGGGCATGGTCTAGCGGGGTTACCCGGCAGGATATCTGTACGGCCTGGGCCTCGCCGTCTACATTTATAAAATACTATAACCTGGAGGTACCTGCCTTACAAGCTAAGCTTTAGGCGGTCTAGAATTCAGTGCTATTTGCCCCGCTGTGCGGCCCAAATGCTGAGTCTACTACAGCTCCATGAGTATTGACACATGTATGACCATCCAGTTCAGGCTGAAAACTTTCACCCTGGCTGCGCGTTTAATTGTCATATAATAACCCTGTTGGGTGTTATTTTATAAGGAATGATGCTTCCAGCCTCTCTTCCTTCACTTTATGTGAGTTCATGGTGATTATGCACTATATGGGCCCTGGGCGTTGCCTCTGGGACTTTGGTGTTGGATCCCTGTACGCACGGTGTGTTGCATTGTGTTCCCCTAGCGTAAGCTATTACGCAGTACGAGAGATACTCTCGTAAGAGAACGTACTCGGTTACTAACGTAACCTCGGTTCTCTCTAGAGAGGGAACGAGTACTGCATATCTTGCCGTGCTTGGAATACGCTCTGGTTTCGCTTCGGCGATGAAAACCAGCTTGTACCAGCCTAACGAGCATATTTATAGAGTGAGACCACGCCTTTTCTGGCGGGACGTGACGATATGGGCGCGAGTTGCCCCCATTGGTCATTACGTCACGCAGAGTCTCTCTCGATAGGCTGCTGCATTTGCCGCAAGAGCAGCCAATAGGCGCGCGAGCTGTCTCGCCTGTGTCTGCTTGCTGCTGCAAAGCGTTTTACATTAATAAAAAATTAAGGATAATTTTTGGCTTCAATATCTCGTGGAAAAGAGGTTTTCCCCTAGCGTAAGCTATTACGCAGTACTCGTTCCCTCTCTAGAGAGAACCGAGGTTACGTCAGTAACCGAGTACGTTTTGTATTTTAATATACTTCTGTAATTGCAAAGCTAAATTTTCAGCATCATTACTCCAGTCTTCATTGTCACATGATCCTTCAGAAATCATTCAAATATGCTGATTTGCTGCTCAAGAAACATTTCTTTATACCAATGTTGATACCAACATTTCTTTATACCTAACAGTTGTGCTGCTTAATATTTTTTAGTGGAAACCGTGATACTTTTTTTAGGGTTCTTTGATGAAAAAAGAAAGGTCAGCATTTATTTGAAATAGAAATATTTTGTAACGTTATAAATGTCTTCACTGTCACTTTTGATAATTTTAATGCATCCTTTCTAAATAAAAGTATACATTTCTTTTAAAAAAAAAAAAAAACATTCTGACCCCAAACTTTTTAACAGAAGTGTGCATATGGATCAGGGGGATGATTAATTGTTCATTATTAATCCCACTAAATGAACATGTTAAATAGATAGCCCCAATATAAATATTGCACAATAGCAATGATTTAAATATGACTTCTGTTGTTTGCCTGTAATGCCTATTCACTAAACAAATCCTAATAAAAAGCACATTCAGCATTGGGTGAGTCTAGAGCTTTTTTACAACCAGAATATTGGGCTCGAAAGCAGACCAACCAGACTTAAATCTTAATGTAAGCGTGGGCAGCTTTGTCACATTGAATGTTGTCTATGAGCGAAGCAGCAGACTGAAACTAGTTTACAATGAGCGCTACCACTGTCAGTTTACTCACAGCTCCTCCGTCTGCCTCCACATTAACGAGCTTATTCATTATGCTCCAGAGGACTCCATATTTAACCAGAAACCTAATGTGGGCACAGCACTGAACTTCGGCTGAGTTGTTCTTACAACAAAACTCAAGAGTAATCATATGGTTCGTAAAACCACATGATAGCACACTTAGATGAGATGCGCGAGGTGCCGTGTAACAGACAAGAGCCAGTAAATTTACTGTACAAAACTTTCTGAAAATACAAAATGAGAATTAACAGCACAATTACTAGAAATGTGTACCTTGGATATTATACAATTTGCATACATACAGAATTTGTGGGAAAAGGCCAGTTTTTTACAAGACTTTTCCAACTCTGACTTTGAACCGATTCTGTAGAATGGCCCATATAAATAACTGCTTCTATGATCAACAGAAGATGCAAATAAGAGTTTATCTTTAAAAAAACTGTTTACCACCTGCTTTCGGCGAGTTTGTGAATAAGGCACATTCTATAACAAGCTTCATGGGAGGTGTTGATTTGAATACTTCAGCACATTCACAATCTGGTTAAGATGTTTTCCAGGTAGTTAGTGACCATTATCAAGGTTTTTGAGCTGAAATGCCACTGTTTAGTAAATTTCTTTACAATATTCAGGGGGGACCAAACATATAAGTGGGGACGTAAATGTAAAATCTTTTTGCTTCATTTTGTAAGATTATATAAATATAATGGAGTCACTAAATTAAATATATTGTGGGGGAGAGTTTGCTTCCCTCTTAGTGTTTGCTGGAGTTATGGGAGCTAATATGTAGTCTGGTGTGATTTCAGGCCAAGTAACATCCCAAAGTTTTCCCCTTCAACTCCTCTCTGCACAAGAAATATTATAAATAATTTAAGAGGATGCTTTGACATGAACCATGAGCGTCTACCCCACACAAGAAACTTGCAAGTACTGTTTGTGTGCCTGACATCTCGATTTGCCTTTTCTTCTGGTGCAGGCGCGAATGCACAAAGATAAGAAAAAGTCTAAATCTACATTTGTCCTAATTAGTGACGCTCCAGCCTGTGAAGACATACCAAGAAAGCGAAATGTCCTTCGGACCAGAGGGTTGAGGTAACAACAGTCGCCCATCACAATGATCTTCTCTCGGTTGTCTAGATCCTCAGAGACATACTGCAGCAAGAAGAGCACGGACTCTGTCACAGTAATCTGCAGACAAAACCAAAAACCAAACAAGGCACTTTTAATGGCACATTTCGTTTGTAGAATCTCCCTCTCTCTTCTCTCTTTTTTTGCTTATTTCTTGATCTTTACTTAGATCTAAGATGTAAATTAAGCTAAAATCTAATTCTCGGCTTGAAGGCAAAATCAAGAAAACAGGCTGTATTTGAGCAATTTGTAACACTGGAAGAAGAATAAAGACCAATTCATGAACACAATGGAAATGATTAGAGGTCTGATTTTCGGCTGGCCAGATGCCAGTTCCCAGCAAGGTCTTGAACCTGATTTTTTCAAACTGGCAGGGAGCACCCGGGGCAAAGGAACTATGAAAAAAAAAAACACTCGCAATTAGTGCTGGATAGGTTTGAAAGAATAAAGCTGTAGACGGCTGGGGGTTTTGTGACAACTTGCGTTGATATATGAAAAAGTTAGAATGCCTGTCATATAAGGAATTAAAGGGTTAGTTCACCCCAAAATGAAAATTCTGTCAGTAATTACTCACCCTCATGTTGTTCCAACCCCGTAAGACTTTCGTTCATCTTCGGAACACAAATTAAGATATTTTTGATTAAATCTGAGAGCTGGCTCACTCCTCCATAGGCTTCTAAAGGCCTGTTCACACTGGGACGAATTTCACGCGCGATATTCGCCGACGTTTAACGCCTCGTGACTAGACAAAGGGCGCCAATGTGAGTGTGCACACCGACGCAAAAAACGCCACGCGTAAAAGCGTAATTTTTTTTTAAAACGCCTCGGGTTTGTTTTTTTGGTTTGACGCGCAGCCTCAAAAACTATCCGACCAATGAGATTGGCGCTTTTGCTCACGTGTCTGGAGCTTCTGAAGTTACAGTAAAACACAACTTGGGGGCGCTCAAACACAAAACGGTCTTGCCGAGCACACATATGTAACGGCGAAGAAGATATACGCCAAGTAGCGTCTACAACACTGCCGGGAAGAAATAAGACGAGGAAGATGCAGGGCAAGATGAATGTAGAGCTGCTGGTCTCGTTGGTGTCGGAACTTAAAGAACTATATGACAAACGCGACAGCGACTACAACATAGGACTATTTCTGTTTTACATTAAGCGCCATCTAATGTCAGGGAATGAATTTCCATGTTCACTCGGCTCATCGTCAGCAAAAATCGCTTGGGTGTGAACACAAAAAACGCGTTGTAAAACGCTGGAGAATAACGCCCGACAATATTCGTCCCGGTGTGTACGAGAATTCTTTTTGTGCGCAAAAAACAAACAAAAATAACGACTTTATTCAACTATTTATTTCCTTCTCTGTGGGCCTCGAGTTATTTGTAGTGTAACTGCGCAGCGCTTCTGTGTTGTACGTCACACGTAGGCTCACTATTGGCCAAGGCTGGTCATGTGTGTGATGTACAACCTAGAAGCGCTGCGCAGTTACACTACGTGAACTAACTCGAGGCCCACAGAGAAGGAAATGAATAGTTGAACAAAGTCGTTATTTTTGTTTGTTTTTTTGCGCACAAAAAGTATGCTCGTCGCTTGATAAACTTAAGATTGAGCCAGTGTAGTCATTTGGACTATTTTAACAATGTCTTTAATAACTTTTCTGGGCCGGCAAGTGAGTACTGACAGAATTTTCATTTTGGGGTGAACTATCCCTTTAATCTAAATCTCTATATTATTTGGCATATATTTTGACAAAAAAATCTCATGGGAAACCCATGATCTTTTGCATAACCTTTAAGTATTGACCTTTATATATTTTAAATAGTGCTGAGAACAGGAGCGCTCAACTCCCAAAACGTTTATGGGTGCGAGTTATAAAGAAGTTTATCAAATAAAGATGAACAACCGCACTCTCTAGTTATATCCAGCCCGTTCTCATCCCAAGGCGTCATACATGTGGCGCTTTTGACATTTCGTCGAAATCTTACGCACATGGCATCCTTTAGCGTCAATATGAGACGCAGATCCCAAGGCGTCATAACCGTAACCCTACCCCAGACCTAAACCTACCCATAACAGTGCGTGTTATATTGACGCTAAAGGATGCCATGTGCGTAAGATTTCGACGAAATGTCATATGGCGTCACCTATATGACGCCAAAGGATGAGAATGTGTTGCTATATCTCATATCTTTATATGAGATATCATCAGTGTGACACACTGATGATGGCTTAGGCTGAAACGCATCTGTTTGGACATGGTAATAATAAAAAAGATATGAGATATAACTAGAGAGTGCGGTTTTTCATCCTTACTTTATATATTTCATACATATATAACTTATAATTTTCAATATTTGTATGTCATGTTACTTTAAAGTCATTGTAAAACAGAAGTTGCGATAGTCTTTTCTTCCCTATAGTGATGTACAGTATGAGTAAAACGGCTTCTCAAACAAGAAAAAAGGACGGGACTTTTTTTGTCCATTGTTAATTGATTGGATCGTTGGATCATTGGGTTTTGCTACTGCTGTGATCTCATATGAGTGACAGGTTGTCCCGCCCTTTTCTGAGATTGTGCCCAAAGGAAGGTGAAACTAGTTGAAACTTTTCATCATGGTGCCTCAGTTCTTAAGCCTTGTTCAGACTCTTAGTCTAAGTACAAATTTTTGACGATCATTTATAGCAAAATTATAGCAAATGTAAACAGGGAAAAAAAATACATGAAATCTGATTTTTACAATTTTTTACATTTTCACTTTTCTTCCTATATGTCACTTTCTCACGCCACGTTAAATGTAAACACGTCGACATTGTTGCAGAAACATAGTTTCACGAGTTCACACTAACAAATAAGTCCGATAGAATAATAAATGGTATGCATATTTGACGTGCTGTCCCGAACTCCCCCCGTATTCCTGGCTGTAGAAGGAACAAGCCAAGAGTGAGGCGTCGGGGTGGTGGAGGGATGCTGAAAACTGTCAAGGAATGTTGGTGAGTTGACTGAGTGCCTATATATACTTCCTCTCATGCTGATGGGATAGTCATGATGATTGTTGATGAAGAAGTTAATTGGATTGATTATTTGAACGTGTTCCTCCCGAACTTTGTTTCATGAAACATCATTTCATTGTGTTGTTGTCAATGTGCAAGTCACGCAGAAAATTATAAATGGAGACATCTCTGTGGTCCAGTGATGAGGTGTCTTCACTTCTTTCTCTGTGAGGCATAGACGGCAGCACGGAATATTGCCGCTCATAGACGTATTAGTAGCTATTCCATACCACGACTACACTTCATTGTCATATCCCATTGCAAACCCCTTCATGTTGTTTTTGGCATAGTTCTACCAACACAATGTCATTGCTATGGAAACCAACGCTGACATTCTAGAAAATGAAAGACAGCCACGGGACACATATCGGATCTGAACAATTGCGATACACAGTGTGGACTGTCAATTATTTAGATCAGATTCCAATTGGAAACACAAAAAAATTGGATTTCAACCAGACTGATCTCATGAAATGGCGTATGTATGACACGCCAATTCGTATTTCCATTTTTGGCGTGCTATCAACACGCATAATCGCTTTTCAGCGTGTTTATCAACGCCTTTGACTTAACGTTATATTACTGTATTATGCATATATAAATATATGACCTACCCCAACCCCGTCCCTAAACCTACCCGTCACTGGGGTTAATACCATTTATGAGTCTTCTCCTACCATCCTAGGAAAAGAAATATCGCTACACAGATGTAGATATAGATTTTGCTTCGTTTCGCTCTGACATTTAACGGCGTAGACATACACGCGGAATCACTCGGATGTTTAATGGCGTAGACATACACGCAAAAGATTTCGGCGTGGACATACACGCGGATATTTCAAAATGCGTATAGATAACACGCCACTTGAATTGAAAGTGGCGTGTATGTTTACGCAAAGTCATGATGTCATGTTGCTTCAACTGACAATATAATGACGCTTTTCCACTGCATGGCACGGCTCGGCTCGGCTCGGCCCGGTTTGCTTTTCCATTGCAGTTTAGCACTGCTTCAAAGTGGGTGGGATTATAGACTGATTGTTATAGTTGCGCCGCCTCTACTGCCATGACATAATCGTAAACACGACACAAACAAACGCACAACACAGGAACAATGGAGCATATCGATGGAATGGTGTTCTTGATTCTCGGCATGGATGTTTTTCACTGCAAGACGAAGAAGTTTATTTGTTCGGGTTTGGTGTCTCGTGTCGCAAATCCAATGACGCTGGTCAATCAGTGATCTGCAGTGGTTACACGTCACATTTTAGTATCGGTTCGGCTCGCTTGGAACTTCAACCGAGGTGGTACTATTTAAGTGAGCCGTACCGAGCCGTACCCAGCTGTGGATAAATGTAATGGACGTAGGCCAGTAAAAGCTGTGTGTGTAAACCTCACTCCCCTGGCCTAAAGACGAACGCTAGAGGCTGCAGTCTTTAGCGTCCTTATTAGTGCACCCGCCTCCCATGCCGGAGACCCAATTTCGAATCCGAGTAGGGCCAGTTACATAAACAAGGAAGTTTTTCGTTAACCCATGTTTGTCGAGCCCTTTTTACTGCGACTTATCAAAAAACCAACAGAACGTTTTTTTGTTGTAACTCAAATACATGATTTTGTTGTTTAATGTGTACACTTCCTGTTTTCTTGCTACCTATAGCAGCCTCATAAAATGCTAGACAGGTTACTCATTTGCAACTTTGTTTCACGTCACAGCTAACCAGTTCACAGCATGTGAAGGGTTAAGCTGCATCAGAGCCTGGTACCGTTATTTCAATACTTCTACCAATGTGAAAAATCACAGGAAGCGACAGGTGAACTTGTGAACTCTTGCGCTAAACTCAACAGTGCAGCAAACTCCAGGTTACAACAGCAGTAATATCTCAATATTAGCACGGCTGAGCGAGCTTTTGAAGTGGGAACTCTACGCCAAGAGTCTGAGGATATATCACTTTGACATCACTTGTTAGTACTGCAGTATGAAACTCTTCTATTTATTGATTACATGTGAGGTATGTACAATAAGCTCAGAAAGACAATTTGTATTTTTTATTTATTGTATTTATTATTAAAATTAAGAAGCGTCAGATAAATTATGTGTGGTGGTTGATTCTTTCAGAATGACATTCTTTCTGCAGAATGATATTACTGAATGACAAATGTGTTATCCTTTTACTTCACTTTTATGACATATTCCTTTAGATCATCAACAGAAAATAATCCATAAAATGGCAAATTCTGAGATTTCATTTTCATAATTAATAATAATAATAATTCTACAAAAGGAATTCATATTTCTTAACAAATGCAACTCGGGACTGTGAACATGGATTGACATGACTCACTGTTCATTTCGAATAGACATCAAGCCATCCTGGCCCATATATGTCACACAGCCAAGCCTGATGAGTGAGACGGTTCCTCTTACTGTCATATGGGCCGTCCAAAAATTCTTTAATTTATTTTTTATTTGTTTTCATATTTAATATGAAGAATGTGAGATACAGCCCAAAGGAAGAATTCTATGAATCTGCCTTCTGCCTCCAGCAACACATGGCCTAGGGTCAAGAAGACAATCTCCTCTTTTATCGGGGAGCACATATAACCACTACATCATACAAGAGATGTTTGGTTTCAGAGCACTTATACATGCTGACCTGCTAAAGCCCCCATCATTTTGCAGTGTGCTTTTATATGTGCCTTGACAGTTTTAAATGGCAAAAACCTGCCAGACAGAAGGTTTTAACTGTTATTATAAGGTTTGAATGCTTTTACCTTTGTACAGTTTTGATGCTTGAGACACCACCGGTCGGTATATACACTGTATCACAAGTGCCACAGCAAGCAACTGTATGTTTGTTAAGTGCTTCAGAGATGACTTAGTTTGGCCAAAATAAAAAATTATGTCATCAATTAATCATCATCATGTCGTTCCCAATTCATATGATGTTTTCCTTTTATTAAACACAAAAAGAGAAATTTTGAAGAATATACTTGTGATTTTTTCCCATCCAATTACATTAACTTTGTGCTTTCAAGCTTCAAAAGGACACAAACGCACCATACGTAAATATATCATAAAAAAGAAGCTATATATACAGAATGATAGCTTTATGTAATGAACAAACCAAAATCTAGGAAATTCCATTTCCAACACATAAGATAAAGATAATCATAATTATGACATAAAACTCAAAATTATGAGGCAAGTTGACATTTTGACAAAGTAATAATTATAACAAATATAGCTGCAAGCAGCCATTCCGGGGCCAAGCGCAAACGCAGACGACAAGACATGCCAACATGGCTGGAAGTTTCAGACCGATAGCAGGAAGGAGCAATTAAAGACATTTAAAGATGAATTTAGGCAAATGGCTAAAAAATCATATATACAGTAACTTTTAAGATGATTTAATGGATTATCACTTTCGACCAATAGGTGGCGCAGTTACGAAATCGATGTGATGTGGTCAGAGTGAGGTGACAATGACACATACAAAGTTTGGTGTCAAAATATCAAGGCATTGCAGAGATAAAGACTTAATAGTCATTTTGGCAGCATGTCTCAACTTTGCTGCTGCGGTATACGAAAACGGTTTTGTCTATCGTCACGAAATCCATAACTTTTAGTCGGCACGGTATGGAGATGACACGATTCGATTTTGGTGAAAATCGGACGAATGGTCTAGGAGAAGTTCGAAAAAGAAGGTTTTGAAAGTAAATAAAGATGGCGGACAGGAAGTTCGTCCAAATACGTCAAACTTGGTATCTATGTTCTCGGCATGACCCAAGGAATCTATTAAGACCAGTGTCATTACAATAAGCACATTTTTTAAAATGTTATTAGCATTTTTGGAAAACTAATTTTAACTTTTGACCAACAGGTGGCGCTGTCTTGAAATCTTTTGAGTACCTTCAAGGCAAGGTGCTGGTAACAAATTCTAAGTTTCGTAATGTTACAGCAATGTGTTCATTAAGTATAGCATTTCACATCACAAAACTGCATTGAAATCAATGGGATTTTCATGTTTTGTTCTATTATAGCGCCACCAAGAGGCAAAATCCCACCATTTTTTTCATGTGTCCTCAGAGTGAGCCCCTACATCTGTGTGTCAATTTTGGTGAAGATATCTCGATTAACTTCAGAGTTATAGACATTTATGTGAAAAAACACGTAAAAAATGACCGCTACGTGACTTTGATTGAATTTTACGACCCCTTACTATCAATATTTTGGCATTTGGGCATTGGCATATAGCTATCGACCTATGTTTCCAATTTTCTGACGGTGGTTTCGTCTCGATCGGACTAACGGTTTCGAAGATATCGGCAAATGTTTTTTAAGCGCTAAATCAAAAAAGTCGAAATTATGAGATAGTCATAGTTATGACAAAAACAAAATGATGGATAAAAGGTATAAGCAATAAAAGCATAAATTCAAATTTGTATATGATAATCACAACTTATAATTATGACTTATGTGAAGTATGTCATAATTTAAACTGTTTATCTCAGAATTATAACAGCTCACCAGACAGGAAAATTGTAACAACTCCAATTACTTTTTTTTCCTTACACAAAGCTATCGTATAAATTCAGAAAGAATTGTAATACAGCACATGAGTCATTCACTTTTTTATGATACTTTTATAGTGATTTTGTGTTTGAAACTTAAAAGCTCCAGTCAGCATTCATTATAATTTCATGGCTAAATGACTTACAGTTTCTTTAAAAGAAACTGCCATTTGTGTTACACAGAAGAAAGAAAGTCACACAGTTTGAAACAACATGAGGATAAGTACTTCTGCATAAAAATTCGAGATACTGTAAACGTATCAGTTGTCTTGTCAGAAATGGCCACCAAGTTAAGCATGCCAGCAATATTTGGGACTTACACTGTATAAGCCTTGCACTTTTAGAACCCGCCGGGCTGATAGCTGACCTTTACTGTCCACCGCAGAACACGCTTGTTGAGACCAGATCGAAGTTTTCACTCCACAACTTGGCTCAAAAGTGATGCTTTCAGCAAATGGGTTATAATAATAGTCATTTGGGGCTGAATTTGTGTGGCCTTAATATAAGGCCATGCAGAGTGTTTTCAGATCGATTGAGCAAATCCATTGGAATTCTTATGAGAGATGAGAGCAGGGAGGCTCAGTAGTGATCCTGGTGCTCTTTAATTGATCCTCGGAGCTGCCAATATCTTGCTCATCATAAATTCTCTTTTAATATACTGTAGGCACACAGAGCTAGAGTCCAGAGCCAAAAAAATTACTCTCAAAGACAGATTCCAAGATTCAGTGTGGCCAATAGCAAACATTAAGCAATGGCAACCCTGCAGATGCAAGCTTTTCAACTTAATTACTGATCTCTTTCAACTTACATTTCTCATTCTTAAAAGACCAACTTCTCTGAACTATGCTATGTTAATTTAAAAGACCATTTACTAAGTGGCAACTTTTGTTTGTTTTTTTGTTTCTATTTTTGAACTGCAATATTGTGAAATATTTTTGCAACTTAAAATAAGTTTTCTTTTTAAATATATTTAAAAAATGTAATTTGTTCTTTTATTCTCATTTATTCATTGACTCATGATGGCAATGTAGATTTTTTTTTGCAGCCATAACTCCAGTCTTCAGTGTCACATGATCCTTCAGAAATCCTTATGCTAATTTGATGCATAAGAAAAAATGTCTTATTATTATCGTAGTTGAAAACGGTTGTAGCCTACTGCTTAATATTTTTGTGGAAATATATCTGTGATACATTTTTATTTTCAGGGTTCTTTGATTAATAGAACAGTATTTATTTGAAATATATATATTGTAACATCATAGGCAACACGTCTAAGTTGACATTATAAATAACAACTTAATGCATCCTTGATGAAAGGATTAATTTATTTTCTTTTACTGACCCCAAATTTTATACACTGACCCACCATGAAAGGTGCAAAAATACACTGTTAGACTGTAATCAGAAACCATAATTAATTTGCAATCTAATATGCACAATTAAATATGTATAATTGATGTTTTAAGCATTTCATTATGAACTTACACTGATCATTTCATAAATATCAGTAGGCTACATTTGTTTACTTAATATGCCACATTCTTCTAAGTGTATAATTATTTCTTTACATTATGTTATCTTTACTTTGCAGGCAGGCTGGCTCAATATATGAGACCCTATCAACAGGACATTTCAACTATTTAGGCTATACAATTCACAAACTGATTGACATTACGCTATTATATATAAATAAAAATATTGCCAAAAACTAGGCCTACTGCTCTTTCTAAACTAATTTATCCTTCAACATACACTCACCACAAGTGCAGGGACACCTGCGACCACCGCGTACAGGACAGCTGGTGGGATCGCGCCGGACTCCTCTGGTCCGAGATAGGGCTTCGTATAGGCTTTATCATGACAAAAAAATCCCTGGATGTGCACGCTGAAAGTATCGGTGTACTCAAAGTAGTATGCCAGCATGACAGTACCAGCCATGATCACCAACTGAAAGTAAAGCATTGTCGATAAGGGTCAAACAGATCCTGGGAAATAAGTGAAGGTTCTTCGGCTTCGTATCCTAGTCCTACGATAGCACTAGCATGATTTCCTCTTATTCCATTATCATTCTTCCAAATAAATCCGCCAGAAATAGTAGCGCATTGTGTCCGTGACAGAGCGCTTTAAAAGTGCGCTGCAGTCTATGAAAATGAATTGGGTTAGAGCTCGAGCAGGCTGGGCAGCAGCATTCCTCAGTAGGCGTTCCTCTGTTTCCTCTGTGATGGGATGCCTGCACAAAAAAATGCACTTGAACTGTTTTAAGTTATTATTGATTATCGAATCTTTCGTGCTGTTTCGTGCATTATTTGACACCTCCAAATATTTCATACCTGGAGTCTCACTTTGCTGCGCATTAGGACTTGTGAAGCAAGTTGCTCTTAACAACATGGAAGACCATGCAGCTAACAGTTGTCTCTAAACAGAAATACTGAAATAATGCCTGAAAATATATTATTATTTTTTTATTAAAAAAAATAAATGTCTTTCTTCAGGATATTTAATTTGCATACTGTTGATGTAGGAATGTAGGAAAGGCTTCGATGTATTTTTGAAGACTTATGAGGAACTGTGAGCTGCTGCCCTCTTGTGAATATCTGTTAGACTTTGAAAAAGATGTAGTAGTTTCACATTTTAAAAGCAGATAACATAAAAAAAAACATTGATTCTACATGTTAAATAAAAATGTAAAAAGGTACATGTGCATATTAAGGTTACACTTACGTTTTGTTTGCGCAGCTGGCTCTTATTCCTCAAAATAATGCCAGAGCTTGTTGTGGGTTTTGTATTGACACCTACTGGTCTGGATGCTTTGAGTTTGTTTAGCCTACCACATGCAGAAGCTTCATTGGGAATTTGTTTGTTTTTCTTTTTGTCTGGTTTGTTTCATTAGACTGACTTCGTCATACTCATATTCTAGTCAGAATGTGAGTCTGATACTGCTCCATAGGGCTTTGATTATGAGGCATGTCTTAACCGAACCAGGAAAAAAAAAACACTGCACTCAATTGGATAGACCTACAACCAATGAGAGCAACGCAGTAAGTCAACTACTTTGCATAGCACAGTTGTCAACTACAGAACTCAAATGCACGCACGCTGGAAGAAGTGAAATAACGAGTGTTGCTTCTTTTACTTGGCCCTCTATGAGTGCGACCAAAGGAGAAACTACAACGACCACAGGGTTTTCATTGTGTCCCATTTTCTTAGCAACCATCGGAGCCAGCTGATAAAATAAACTTTTGCTGAATCACGGAAGGACAGCAAACACATCTTTCCGATCGACAAATGCCTTGATTGCAGTTCTCTGTTCGTCTATTAAAATTAATGCGCTGTCGATTTCTTTTACAACAGACGCGATAGCGGAATCTATACATCTCAGTTCTCCAGCTGCAGTCATCTCTGAGGGAAACCACAGTTAAGCGCTCTTTGAAACGTGATGATTACGTCCCTGCAGATCATCTGTCCATCATCGTATGAAGCCCGCCCTGGAAATTTGATTGGTCCGAACATTTTTTGACTGATCATAATTACTCCTCAATGGAGCGAGTCCAGACCGAACTTCCCGACCAAAAAATGTTGTGGGCGGGGTTCGGGCTGGCATCCAGGCTATTGTTTCATACTAATCATTAAAAATTTTGGAGTCAGTTAAAAAAAATGTCCATGTTGTTTCATCGCTGCAGCAGGTACATTTTCTTTTTCCACTGTGTCGGTCAGTGTGTTTGATTTGCTTGTTTTGTTTAGATTGTACTATAGCCTATATTTAAATAGACCACTGGCTATAAAAAGTGTTACATAAAGTAAAGGTATTCTTGCCAGGGCCCAAGCACTAAAGATGAGTCACTATACTGTAGTAGGGTGGCCATCTATCCAGTTTTAAGTCAGACTGTTCGGGTTTGAAATAGGACTTCGAGAGCTTAGAATTATAAGGTTCTATCTCCACTTTTGGTCTAAATTTAGTTTTTGACATAATCTTATCCATTAGGTGTTTATTAATGCCTGTGTGGTGTTATTTTTGTAAAAAAAAATATTTTGTTAGTAGTTATTAAAAAAATAAAAAGGTTCCATCTCACAAACCAGCAGGGATGTAAAAACTTTGATGCTCAATATCTCAGAACCACCCTAAACGGAGATAGAACTGTATAATTCTAAGCTCACGACTTGTCATCGCAGCATCCAGACGTTAACTTTTTCCTTTTAAGATCATCACTATTTTATACCCAATGGTGTATAAAATTATAAATAAATGTAAAAATAATATGCTATGTTTGAGTTCATATTAAAGGAGAACTCCGGCGCAAAATGAACCTTTGGTCTAATTACACATTGTTACCTAGTCAACCGTTATCTGAGATTTGTTTTCATGATTATCGAATGTAAATAGTTTTATCTCTAAAAACAGTTTAGCCTATAAAGCTAGTATAACGCTAGTATATTGGGCATAGTGTAATGACAAATAAAAATCGCTTGTTAATACCACTAACAAGGCTGAAAATAGCCCCACACTAACACGGTAGCATAATGAGGGTCCCTACCTTCAAACCGAAGCATTGAGAACTTTGTCAGTGTCCAGACAGTTTAATAAGAAGATATTTTAAACATACAGTCAACTTCACGTAAATACAGGCACAAGCCATCTTTGAAATACAGTCTTTACCAGTCGATCTACGAACGCCGATCCAAGTGCGCTGGTGAGAATGTGAACGAGCTATAAGTTGTGATAAGGTGAGCGCGAACAGCAGGCTTGGATCGGCGTTCGTAGATTGACTGGTAAAGACTGTATTTCAAAGATGGCTGTTTGTAGAGATAAAACTATTTACATTTGATAATCATGAAAACAAATCTCAGATAACGGTTGACTAGGTAACAATGTGTAATTAAACCAAAGGTTCATTTTGCGCCAGAGTTCTCCTTTAAGTGACGTACATTTTATATTGTCAAGACTGCTTTTGCTCTGTTTCGCCAACAAAAATAGATCCAAACAGTCACAGCAGAAGTCGTCATTCAGCCTTTTTTTTTTACGAATCCACAATCCAGCGAGTCAATGATTCAATGACCCTTTCATAAAAACAGTCTTCTATCTTAAATGAATCAGCCTATTTGGACAAATGGGTTGAAAGCATCAGTGGCATGCATCTTCTGAAATCACATACTCTCTTGAGTAGGTACTTATTTTGAATAAGTAATTACTTCGACATACGTACTTCACTACCATTCACAAATCCTATGTCATATGGGTACATTTCGTCTATTCTTTTGAGTACTGTGAATTCGGACATACTTCTTTTGTCACATACTGTTTTTTGCCTACTAGGGAAGTATGCGTTTTCGGATGCAGCCAATGATATTGCCACCACCTGTCAATTTTAGTTTCATAGTTGTCATGAAATCAAAATTGACCCTATTTACTTTGTTAGTGCACATTACTAGTCTTGTGGTGAACAATTAAACCGTGCAAGTTAATACACAGAAAAAAAATAGTTTGTTGTCTTTTCAAAATCAGAAAAGTTGCTTCCGCTCTGGAATGGCGTTCCTTCTCTGGTAATGTCAGTTTGATGGGTTGGATAGACTATCCTTAACCACTCCCCTCCAACCGTCAGTCTGCTATGAGTCTGTTTCAGCTGGGCAACGGGCGCGAACGCAGACCCCCCCGATGATTTATATAGGAGACCACCGATGTGTTGTTGGACCGGACAAGAACATGATGGCCTCTCAGGGGAGGAATTGTTTCAGAGCCTGAAACACCGCCAACATTTCTAGACAATGTATATGCCATGAGAGATGATGGTCCTGCCACAAACCCTGGGCTGGACGACCACTCATGATCGCCCCCAACCTGTGAGGGAAGCATCTGTCATTAGCGTTCCTTGGGACAGAAACCAAGATTCCCTCCACATGACCAAAGCACGGAGACAACGCCGCGTGACTTTGATCGTGCAGAGTGGGTTTCCCCTCGGGGAGAACCCCTTGGCCCTGAGCCACCACTGTAGCGGTCTCATGTACAGCTAACGTTGTCATGTACATAACGTTGGATGCTGCTGCCATCAAACCCAGCAGTCTCTGGGACTGCTTTACAGTGAGCAACTGGCCTAGCTTCACCTGTTTTATGGCTGAGAGAATCAAAGTGATGCGGGCAGGAGACAGCCGTGCCCGGATCGTTACCGAATCCCATAATACCCCCAGAAAAGAGGTCCTCTGTGATGGAGATAACACGCTCTTCTTGGCATTCAGCCTCAACCCCAATTTCCTGATGTGAGCGAGGACAACATCTCGATGCCGAAGGACGCGATCGAGCCGGTCCCTCCAGCCGAGATGAGGTCTGGGTTCAACAGCCCTTACTTCATTGTACCCAAGAAAAGCGGTGGGTTCGTCCCCAGGATTGGTTTGCAGCGATCGACCTGAAGGACGCGTACTTTCATGTCTCGATTCTTCCTCGACACAGAACGTTTCTTCGGTTTGCGTTCGAGGGTCGGGCATATCAGTACAAGGTCCTACCCTTCGGCTTGGCTCTGTCGCCCCGTCTGTTCCCATGAGAGAACATGGCGTTCGCATTCTATCTATCTCGACGACTGGCTTATAATAGCTCACTCGCGAGATCTGTTGTGCGAACACAGGGACTTGGTGCTTCGGTACCTCAGCCGTTTGGGGCTTCAGGTCAACTAGGACAAGAGCAAACTCTGCCCCACGCAGAGGGTCTCTTATCTCGGTATGGAGTTGGACTCGGTTGGTCAGACTGCGCGCCTCACCGTCCAGTCAGTGCTCAACTGCCTCAAGTCTTTTCAAGGCAGGTCAGCGGTCCCACTGAAACAGTTTCAGAGGCTCCTGGGGCATATGGCAGCCGCAGTAAAGCCCGCTCGGCCTGCTGCATATGAGACCGCTTCAGTGCTGGCTTCACGATCGAGTCCCGAGATGGGCGTGGCAGAGCGGCACGTTCTGGGTCAACATTAGCCCGCACTGTCGCCAAACCTTCAGTCCTTGGTCGGACCCTGCTTTTCTACGGGCTGGAGTGCCCTTAGTCCAGGTGTCCAGGCATGCTGTGGTTTTTCACAGATGCCTCTGCCAACGGATGGGGGTCCACGTAC